AAAAAAAAAAATTACAATAAAATTTAACACGATCAACGCACTTTAAATTTCACGATTAATATTGCGAAAAAAAGTCTAAATACTGGGTACTGGGCCCATAACCTATTGAATGGAATAGGTTATGTAATTAGAATATTTAGAAATTATTTGTAATATAATAGTCTATAATATAAAATATCAAACTTCATAATATAAGAGATATACAACGGAAATGGGTCGCTTAACTCGATAGACGGCGAACAACGACTAAATCATAAACATTTATACAATAATCTGTATTGAGTAAAACAATATAACCGAGAAAGAAATGTGTCCCTTTTGACCTTGTACTATACTAAAATAAGTGAAATTACATTTTATACTGTTATCTTAAATAATATTACTCTGTATCCAGTATGTTGTTTAATGATATCAACATATATTTTTAATTTTAATAATTAATAAAGAACTTTAGAAGACTGACATAGCACTGCGGTCTACTTTAGACGGGTGTTCACATGTGTCTCGCTTAATATCAACCGCCACCTATTAATATAACAATCGGTGGTCATCGTGCATTTCTTCGTTCTTGACACAGTGACAAAGCCGCTGCTGACTATCTGTTATGATTATTCGTTCTGTTTTGTTCCGACAATCAACAAAACCTACAAAATTTCGTCGTTCTGTGACGTGTTAAGATCCCCTATCCCGAGGGTATCGTCAATTTTCAAGGGGGTATTTATGCCATTTGCGAACTCAGGGGCGGAGAAGTGCACCTTCTACACCAAAAATTATATGCGAAGTTATTTCAAAAGTACAATAAATTAGCATTTAAAAATATTTATCAGATGAGAGTCTCAATTGTTTATTCACTAATGAAGTTTCCTACTTAGTTTATTGTATACTTTTTAACAAGGATTTACGAGATATAGATAAGTTATTTTTAAATTGCTTTAATTTAATTTAAATTATTACACACACTTCAAAAACCCAGTACTTTGAAAGTTATTTTCATTTTTATATCTGGGCAGGACGAAGAGTACAGTCAGGATTTAATTTAATATGTTAATTACTTCTGAAATACTGGTTCAGAAGTTGTTATCAACCAGTCATTTTCTTTATTAAATAATTTCCTATTTTATATGTTAGTTAAATATGTATTATATACACTACGACTTTGTATTATATCAGGGCATTTGTACGTTAATAAATGTTTGACAAAAACTAAAAATAGTTGTTTTTAAAATATTTTAAAACATCATAAATCGATCAAATTTAAGTCGAAATTTAATTTACTTGATTTTTCTCTCTTACTTGATTTTCAAGATAACTATAAAAATAGCACATAATAAATAAATTGATTGAGAGAATTAATGTTGAACTTATTAATTTCAATGAATTAACTGACAAAACATGATCATTTTCAAAGTAAATCTGCAAAAAAATTTTTATCAATTTATAAAAATGAATTGCAAATATCCAGGACTTGAAACCGTACAAAAAAAAAAAAAGGTTAATTAGTCCCGGTAAAAACCGAATTTTACTCAAAATTAATAACTGATATTAGTATAAGGTTACCAGTTTTGTAAAAAACGGTTGTCAATTACCGTCTTTTTTACAAAATAAAAAATATAAATAAAACTAACGTAAACTGGTTAAAACCGATTATGGTTTTTCGGTTATCGGTAACCGGTAAATATTGGTTACTAATAAAATTAAATTTTAAATTAGTTCTTTACCCACACAAAAAAAATTTCAAGGAGGCTAATCATGAGACAATTTTTTTCTACCCCCTTAATCCAAATATATCTTTAACTCATAACTAATGTTGACACAAATTTATTACTATTATAGTAATAATTAAAGTCTTACAGTTAGGCTTTTGTTTTGAGTAGGTATACCTAAAATCTTTTCTACTCCCCTAAACGAAAAGTAAACTTAATGAACAGTATAATAATTTTTGTTTTGAGGAAATTTATCACCCTTTTTTTTTTAAACCAATTCTGTAATATAAAAAAAAACCCAGCACAGGGGGGTCACGGCATAGTTGGATCAAGTATAATGATATCTGACAGTGATTAAAATCACTATCAAAAAAAAACGCTTCGATCCAAATCTTTAGATAGTGTTTAATTTTAAAAAATTGGTGGATTATTCCAAAAGCTTCATAAACTGCTAGTTCCTTATTAATATCCTGATTAAGATAAAGTATGTCGAATGAAAAAGGGATTATTAAAAAATAGTATTTCCCATAAAAAAATTATATTGATCAATACACTTTTCAATAAGTTATAGCATTATAATGTTAAAAATGTAAAAAATAAAATTGAGAATTTTCACACAATAATAGCATTTGGTAGCCATTTTCACCTTGAAGATAAAATAAAGTCCGAAATTTTTTTTTTCCATGATAAAGTATATTACATTAGCTTTAATTTAAGATATATATAAAAGTGTCAGACTTTCCGGAACACTTTCAAAATTTAAGTTGAAAAAGTCAATTTTTTGTGAAAAAGTTGTCATTTTGAATACCTCCCTGTAGGCAGGTAAAAAGTCAGATTTATAAAAAAAAATATACCAAATGATAGGTAAAGATATCATGCATCTACAAAAAAAAGAATTATATTAATCCAGACATCTTTCGAGAAGTTATAGCATTATAAAGTTAAAAATATAAAAAAGAATTTTTTTACAAAAATCGTATTTTTTTTATTAAGTTTAATGTCTGTTTTCACCATGAAGATAAAATAAAGTCCGAAATTTTTTTTTACCATTATAAAGTATATTACATTAGCTTTAATTTAAGATATATATAAAAGTGTCAGACCTTCCGGAACACTTTCAAAAGTTACGTTGAAAAAGTTCTACTTTCTATATGCATTTTTATGTTTTGAATCCCCCCTGTATTTAGGGAAATGGTCCGATTTAAAAAAACAGTATGTCGAATGAAAGATCTATATAAATACTACTTCTCATAAAAAAATTGTAAGTCTATAAGATATATATAAAAAGTTATAGCATAATAAAGTTAAAAATGGAAAATACAAAATCGAAAATTTTCACACAAAAATAGCATTCGGTAGCCATTTTCACCATGAAGATAAGATAAAGTCCGAAATTTTTTTTT